TCAGATCACATACACAACGCAAAATCACCCAAAATTAACATATGGTGTTCTGCCTTTGGAGGGCAGACTTGCGGTGACTCACCTCGCCGGTAGACGTCCTTGAGGGCGGGCAGATCGTCCGGGTGGTAGAGGTCGACGATACTGTGGCCGACCACGTCCTGCGGCAGGTGCCCGAGGAGAGAGATGCCCTGCGCGTCGTACTGGTCCACCAGGCACGAGGCCGTGTGGCGCATTGAGAACGCCATGTTCCGATTGACCGGGTCTGAGCCGTCTGCCGAGCGGGTCAAAACGTGTCAGCGGCAGCGCTGCCAGCTGGGGCGCCGGGCGCTGACATCGACACATCGCTGCCGTCAACCGAGCGTCGCTATGTTCCGTTATCGACCTGCACTATACCGGAAGGTCGTGAACTCACAACTTGCTGACATCAGATACATCGCTGTACCGATACCACAGGCAGATGACTATGACACGGGCACGGATACCATGGACACAAAGATCCAGCACAAGATCCTCTCCAATAAGTTCAACTAAGTTCAACTAATCTCTCACGCCCATTGCGCACTTGGTCCCCAGATCCTTAGCACCAACACATTACATACAACTTGCAACCAACTCTGAACCGCGTTTTTTCTCTCAGCTTTAAGAGATAAGCCGCGCAGAGTTCCAAACCCAAGTTCTCTCCCAACTTCGCGTGATGCTTGGGGGGGGGGGGGGGGGAGAGCATCCGGCCACTGGGGCCATTTTGCGCTCACTCGCAAGATTAGCGAAACACTCGCATGACTGAGCACATTTGTCTTGAAACAGCTATAAAGCTGCCTGTCATTCATAAAAAATGGATCAATTTACAGGCAAAACAGCGCTGTCCTGACCATCACAAGCCATCAAAGCATCGCCTCATTACCGCTAAGGTATGTACACATTTGAATTTAATTGCGGTTTGGCATTGGGCGGACGGTCATGTCCAGAGCCATGACACCCGATCTGTTCACGGCACAGGGGGTCTTGATCACAAACGTCCCCATCCCACTGTCAACTACCGAAGGCTAAACCGGGTCACGACTCAAAAACGTCCCCTAAACGCAACGCTGCTGCCCGGACGCGTCTTCACGCCTGGTACAGGGTGACCAAACCGGGAAGACAGGGCAGGACCAAACCCTCCTGCGTCACAAGGCCTCCTCCACGAACACCTGACCCCGAGACAGCCTTCCATGAGTGTGAGCACTGAGGAGCGCCGCCCGTGCCGGCGAGCGGGCCGCGCAGACCGCGGCGGGGCCGAGCCGCGGCCACTGACCGGGCGCCGGGCGGTACGCCGACTCCAGCAGCTCAGCCAACACCAGGATGCACGGCCCCCTGCCGTTCTGCTCCTCCGTCTTGTCGTCGCAGAAGATGATGCGCATCTGGTGGCGGGGCACAGCGGTGAGTCAGCGCTCCGGCCGGGCAAGAGAGCGGCGAGCGCCTCCGGCACCATCTGCCCTCCCGCCACACACCGGCCGGTAGGCCAACAGCCGGTGCGCTCACATGCGCCGCCCTTGTGATCTCCAATGTGGAGGCAGGGAAGACCTTTCGAGTCACGCAAGTCGCAAACGTGCATGAAAAGGCAAGCAACACGAAATCGGGTATGAACGTACATTGTAAAATGGATGCTCAAAAAACACGATCGAACTTACGAACAAATGTCAGACACGAACGTATCGCAATAATTTTAGCTCAAGCCAAAAGTACACGGAATGACTTTAGTGCCTTAATGGCGCCACGGACGGCAGAGCACGCCTGACGTGCGTAGCTCACAACACGGTAATGTCTCCTGAAGTGACCGGTGGAGCGACCTGTTACCGGACGTGACTGACCTCAAGGGTTCCAGACCTGGACTCAGACTTATTTTTAAAGGAAACATCACGCACGTCGTCCGACTCTTTTGTGGAGCGCCAGTAGCTGCAGAGGTCGTTTCGGCGCCCAGGGGCCACGGTGCTACCGAGGTTCGAACCCGTGCCTCCGCGTGGGAGCCGGAGGCGCTGACCACTCGGCCATGCGCCGCTTCGGCCTCTACGTCTCGAGGCATCCACGCAATATGATAGCAGTAAAAGCACGTGTGCATGGTACGACGTCTGACGTCATGGCGCGACAGCCAACATCACGACGCGACGGCTGACGTCACACACCTGGAACGGCTTGTAAATGTGGCTGCGACTGACCACGTTGAAGCCGACCGACTTGAGGCCGCGGTAGTGACGTAGACGGCAGAACAGCTGACACGAGTCGGCGCCATCTGCCGCTGACAAGCGCGCCCGCGCAGTCATGGACAGCGCGCTGGAAGTCCACACACCAGCACGCGGCCGCCCAGTTGGCCGCACGTCACCAGCGGAGCCAAAACATGCGGCTATCCTGACACACGCCAGATACTGATTGAGTTTTAGCTCAGTGAGAGGTGACGTCGTGCCACTGACGCGGAAAACACATCACTCGGACGACATACGCACCTCACTCGCGCGTCCCCGAGTGTCGGAAGGCGAGCGCCCCGCTCTTTCGCAGCATGAGCTTACGCTGCTATTCGCTACACATATACACCGCATGTGAAGCCGTCAACTGACCTGAAAGATCCCCTCTTCAACTACCACACATTTTACATATCACTGCTCCGCAAATGCATTCTAGCCACGTTAACAAGTGCTGCCGGCGGTGACCGTGGTATCTCCACCTCAGCTGCTGGTCAGTAAGCGGCACGACCAGAACGTTCGTCAGCCACCCACCTTTGCCGGCTGTGCCGCCCACGTTGAAGCCCAAGCTGCTGATACTGTTGGTGAAGGTGGCGCGGTCCTTGGGGTACACGTAGTCGATGAAGCTGCGGCCCAGCCACATGTCGGCCGGGTAGCCGAGCAGCTCCATCATGCTGCCCGACGTCTCCACCACCGTGCCCTTCCGCAGGCCGACCAGCACCTCCAGTCGCTGCAGTTGGGCCATGGGGGCGCATTATGGACACAGGCGGGGTAAGGGGCGCGTGTCAGGGGCACACTCGCTGCAGCTGGGGCACGAGGACGCGTCAGGGACACACCCGATGCGGCCGGGGCACGGAGAACGCGTCAGAGACACACCCGCTGCCGCTGGGGTACGGAGAACGCGTCAGGGACACACCCGCTGCCGCTGGGGTACGGATGACGCGTCAGGGACACACCCGCTGCCGCTGGGATACGGAGGACGCGTCAGGGACACACCCGCTGCCGCTGGGGTACGGAGGACGCGTCAGACACTGCCGCTGGGGTTGGTGCCCCAGTGGGAAGCGTCAGGGACACAGCCGACGGGGCTGGCGATTAGGAACGTGTCAGGGACACATACTTCGCGGTTGGCACACAGAGACGCGTCAGAGGCGAGGCCCAAACGCTGTTCTCAGGGACACGGGCCTCTCGACCGACATGCCCGGCCACTGGTCGCAGGGGGACGCGTCAAGGACGAGGCCCGAACGCTGTTCTCAGGGACACGGGCCTCTCGGCCAACATGTCCGGCCACTGGTCGCAGGGGGACGCGTCAGGGACGAAGTCCGGAGGCTAAGGCTGTCACAGGGTCACGGGAGCTCCCAGCGACCCGAACCTCAGTTACTGAGCAGGAATACAGAACACTGGCCACACACTTCCCATGGAAGTATCCTGGAACCGGATATTGCCAGGAAACTAGCAGCCAGAAACTTTATATCATCAGAGATACTCAGCAAAACTTCCTGATGCGACATCTCGGCAACAGAAACTTTCGAACCAATTATTAACGTTCTAGGAGCCCGCTATCTCAGGTGCGGTCATTTTATGCCTACCTTGTATAACTATCCAACGCCAACGCATTCCAACAAACTATGATTGAAAATGTTCATTGCGTAGCACTATCAGTCCGCTACATTTGCTCTCAGCCTTGTGTACCCTGGAGGTTACTTCCAAGGCTGGGAGTCAAAATCACAGCAGAAAAGAATAAACGCACGAATGGACGCCCAAAAAGCTATCAATACGCCCGCCTTTTCGAAAGCTGTGCCAGTCTGCTAGTACCTGACCCTGACTGTGTGACCTCTGTATATTTAAATATATAAATACCAAAAAGTAGAAAATACTACCGGGATCATCGATAGATATATCAAGGAGCAAGTTCCCGGAGAAATGACGATATTCCACCGTTTTTGATTTGCCCACATCTGGAGCTCAAACAAGGACGAGACTGTAAAATGATGGACAGGGCATTCTTCGAGATTGGGTAGTGTGCCTGCGAAGTTCCACAAGACACCTCCATTTCATGGATTTTCTGTCTAAATGCGTTGCTTCTTGACAAACGTTTATTGACGACCACTGTCCCATGTAATGCAGCATGTTGTTTTAACGCGGAGAGGCCCATGTCGTCACATCGTTCTTGAGCATCGGCTACCATGGTCATTACAACTGCAAGGCTTTGTGTGATCTTCTGTTTAAGATCGTCAGCGTCACACTCACAGCCGTCAGCACAAGGCTTTGTGTGATCTTCTGTTTAAGATCGTCAGCGTCAGCACTCACAGCCGTCAGCACAAGCAGACGGCGAGTACTCACACTACCGTCCGATATGGAGGGGGGGGGGGGGGGGAAAGAAGGGCTCACCGCGGGCGGAGTGCCGCTGGTGGCTGGAGCGGCGCCCTCGTCCTCCTCCAAGGGCGTCAACAGGCCCGGACTGGAGTCTGCAACACCACCCGGGCGCGGCTCAGTCAGGCCCCGAGGCCTCCTCGCGCGGGCCTCCTGGCCGGCCCCGGCTCAGACGGCGAGGCGCGGAAGTCTCCGGCACGCCGCCAGACCAGTGCCGACGGCCTGAGCCCACACTGCCTCTCTCAGGCCGGCCGTCGCGTCAGTCACTTCACCATGACGCTGTGGGCCCTCTGACGCGCACTGTCACGGCTCGCGAACGACGGGGCCTCCACCGACGTACGGGCAACGAAGGATAGGTTAATTGTTTTGTGGGCGGACTTTACGTTTCATCGATGCATCTGTGATAATGAAAACACTGCGAAGGAAATACATGTGAGGCTCGAAAGCCACCGGGTAGTTTCTTTAGCTAGCATGGCAGTAATACATCCACAAATATTAAAAAGTGTAGCTTGCAGGCAAGCTTGCAAGCTTGCCGCCTCTTTATTGTATCCTGGACCAAAATACGACTTTCGAAAATCATAAGCTCAACTATGACAATTCCAGTTTGATCTGAGGAGAACAAAAAATACGCTATAACGCATGACTGCGAATAGCTTCCTTTGTGCACCATACGCCGCACAATCTTAAGGAAATGGTTTACCTTCGTGACATGTTTGGCGCTGAAATCGCTAGGCTGTACCACATGGAGGACTAAACACAACCGCAACTTTATGAGGCCTACAATGCTTTATTTTCTGATCACGAATGCTGCTTGTTTTCGGGACCAATGCATGCCGTACTACGCAGCGACAGAAAAGTGTCATGTTTTCGGGAATGTCAACATTAATGCAACGCCAACGTCCTGGCCCACAATCGGCCATGATTGGTCGGTCGATGTACCCGGTCGATGATTGGTCGGTCGATGCCACTTGTGGATGATTGGTCGGTCGATGTAACCGGCCGATGACTGGCCGGTCGATGTCACCTGTCGATGATTGGTTAGTCGATGTCATTCGTGGATGATTGGTCGGTCGATGTAACCGGTCGATGATTGGTCTGTCGATGTCACCTGTCGATGATTGGTCAGTCGATGTCACTTGTGGATGATCGGTCGGTCGATGTCACCGGTCGATGATTGGTCTGTCGATGTCACCTGTCCCTGATTGGTCGGTCAATGGCACACTGGTTGGTGGTGAACTTGAACCAACGCGCTTCTCGGCAACAAGCTCTTGTCGCCCTATGGGCCAATCACAAACGTTCTTTTATTCGCGCCAGTAGAGGTCGATGTAACCGGTCGATGACTGGTCTGTCGATGTCACCTGTCGATGATTGGTCGGTCGATGTCACCTGTCGATGATTGGTCAGTCGATGTCACTTGTGGATGATTGGTCGGTCTGTGTAACCGGCTGATGATTGGTCTGTCGATGTCACCTGTCGATGACTGCTCGGTCGATGACGCACTGGTTGGTGGTGAACCTCAACCAATGCGCTTCTCGGCAACAAGCTCTTGCCACCCTCTGGGCCAATCACAAGCGTTCTTTTATTCGCACCAGTAGAGGTGTCATGCCGGTTGTCATAACGACACTAGAGAAGAAGCATAGTGCTGCTGCAGGGCGTTGACAACATGATTTATACTGGACAATCATTAAAACTGATACCCCTATGTCTTGACGAGACTAACTAATCCTGATACCCCACCAGAGTATGTTTTTGAAATATGCCCTAAAGGTGGGACATCATTTGAAAGCATACCAATAGCTACAAGTGAGCTGATTTCTTTACATCTGATGTTTGTTTCAAACCTTCAAATGTGGAACGTTCCTCTAAGAGTAGCACTCACTTAAAAGCGAAACACTGCACTGTCTTGAATACACATTACAAGCAACATAAGGAAAATACGGGAAGTGTCGGCACATTAGTAACAACATCGCCTGAGCCTTAGCTTGGCTTACACCATACCTTTCTCCCATTGCACGATTTTCCGAATATACGATATGACATGTTGGTATGCTTCTCGTTGTAACGTCCCCTGAAACAGAGCATTTGAGCATATCGAAATTGCCACCACAAGAACTAAATAACAAACTTACTTAGCCGAACACCAGATTACAACGAAATCAAATGCGTACCCATTTCAACATTTCAGTGGTGTTCGTCCTGCGGCCACCAATAAGCGATCTAAAGCCATCGCTCGTTATGCTGCTAACCCGACATTTCTACTGATGAATATCTCCATCCAATCTCCCAGCCTTTCCTCTCAGCGTTCTCTCGCCCACCCGAAAGCCATCTGACCATATGGCTTTTGACGACCACCAGCTAACCAGCAGTGGCTCCATCGGACAGCTCTCTGACCACCAGCTGACCAGCAGTGCTCCATCGGGCAGCCCTCTGACCACCAGCGGCCCCAGCCGAGAGCCCTCTGACCACCAGCGGCCCCAGCCGAGAGCCCTCTGACCACCAGAGGCCCCAGCCGACAGCCCTCTGACCACCAGCGGCCCCAGCCGAGAGCCCTCTGACCACCAGCGGCCCCAGCCGACAACCCTCTGAACACCAGCGGCCCCAGCCGACAGTCCTCTGACCACCAGCGGCCCCAGCCGAGAGCCCTCTGACCACCAGAGGCCTCAGCCGACAGCCCCCTGAACACCAGCGGCCGTCGGGCGCACCTGGCCGGCACCCTCGGCGCTTTTGCCCTCCTCCGAGTCGGTGGTGGCCCGTGTGGTCAGCCGATTGCTCGGCTTCTCAGAAGACTGGGCCGACGAGGAGCCGGCCGACTGCACCAGTCGGCTCTTGCGGTGCTTCCCCAGCGAGCTGGCGGCGGTCAGGACGGTGTCATCGGTAGCAGCAGGCCGTTCCCAGCACGCCCTGCTGCCACACACAGTTATCGCGGGCGGCGCGGGTAGGCCACGACTGTCGGGACTGGTACGGTACAGCTGCTAGGTGAACATCCGCGGGCCACAAACATGGCTACTTGCGCCGACACGCACGGCACGGCGGGCACCTGCAGGTCAGGGGGTCACCAAACTGAGGGATGCACTGATACGCACGGCACGGCGGGCACCTACAGGTCAGGGGGTCACCAAACTGAGGGATGCGCCGACACACACGGCACGGCGGGCACCTACAGGTCAGGGGGGGGGGGGGCACCAAACTGAGGGATGCGCTGATACGCACGGTACGGCGGGTACCTACAGGTCAAGGCGGTCACCAAACTGAGGGATGCGCCGATACGTACGGCACGGCGGGCACCTACAGGTCAAGGTGGTCACCAAACTGAGGGATGCGCCGATACGTACGGCACGGCGGGCACCTACAGGTCAGGGGGTCACCAAACTGACGGATGCGCCGATACGCACGGCACGGCGGGCACCTATAGGTCAAGGTGGTCACCAAACTGAGGGATGCGCCGATACGCACGGCACGGCGGGCACCTACAGGTCAGGGGGTCACCAAACTGAGGGATGCGCCGATACGCACGGCACGGCGGGCACCTACAGGTCAAGGTGGTCACCAAACTGAGGGATGCGCCGATACGCACGGCACGGCGGGCACCTACAGGTCAGGGGGTCACCAAACTGAGGGATGCGCCGATACGCACGGCACGGCGGGCACCTACAGGTCAGGGGGTCACCAAACTGACGGATGCGCCGATACGCACGGCACGGCGGGCACCTACAGGTCAGGGTGGTCACCAAACTGAGGGATGCGCCGATACGCACGGCACGGCGGGCACCTACAGGTCAGGGTGGTCACCAAACTGAGGGATGCGCCGATACGCACGGCACGGCGGGCACCTACAGGTCAGGGGGTCACCAAACTGACGGATGCGCCGATACGCACGGCACGGCGGGCACCTACAGGTCAGGGTGGTCACCAAACTGAGGGATGCGCCGATACGCACGGCACGGCGGGCACCTACAGGTCAGGGGGTCACCAAACTGAGGGATGCGCCGATACGCACGGCACGGCGGGCACCTACAGGTCAGGGTGGTCACCAAACTGAGGGATGCGCCGATACGCACGGCACGGCGGGCACCTACAGGTCAGGGTGGTCACCAAACTGAGGGAAACATTGCTAGATTACCGTTCACATTTCATTCTTCACATCAAATCAAATTATATCAAATTACAGAGAATACACCAGCACAACGACCCTAGACGCAGTCCAGTCTACGCCAACAAGTATGCATGCTTCCCACTCAGTTGGTGCAATGCAGTTTACAAGTAGCTTAAATCGATTCAGCTGTGATATATCCACGGCTCTAACCTTTCATTTGGGTGACTTCTGCCAGACTTCGGGCCGCAACCATTGTTTGTTATCACAATATAAGGACCACCTTAATACAGTTTGACAGACCTGTGACTTAAGCATATATCCCAGAGACAAAACGTCGGGGAATCCTCGCCTCGCTTCGGGGCGAGACAACAGCAAAATGTTGGCGTCGCTTGGTTTTTGTATCACACACCGACAAATTAACGGCCACATCGTTATGAAATCGTCAATATTATTTAGCAAATATTTGACAACTTTGATGAAAGCCCAACTTCGACTGGCCCTACACCACACCAAGGTGGTGTCACAACAGCCAGCCGATAGTATTCGGTTTCTGGCCCCGTCCACGTTCGTGACTGCCTTTAGTGGACTACGGCTTGCTTATTATTTCCAATATAGGTCATGGGCTCATGGTCGCACAATATGTCTCGAAGTCAGGATACTGCACAGCATAGCGGGCCACAAACGGTTCTTGGTACCACGCAGGTATTCCGAGGTTGATGGAAACCATCGCAAACCTCATCGGGCCTTCGGCTTCATGGTCAACCACTGCTTGCATTGCGTCTGTGATAGCTGCGAAGCCCGGCTCTTCCTACCTCAAGTCATGGCGACGTCACATAATCAAACCATCAGTGACTTTTAGCATTTTGTGCCTTTTACATGTGACGATGCGTAATCATTTGTGACACCACTGCGTCACCGGGTCACGGCACCCGTCAATGACTAAAACCAAGTAGTTTATGAATCCTTAATAAAAAAGCAAAGCAGTGGGTACAGGTACTGCGCATATCTATATCTTATATACCACCGGACGCCCACGCATGTACCACAACAGCTAGAGAGTCTCGCCGAGACAGATGGTATTGTTTCTTGCGAAAAAGGGTCCGGCAGCTGATTTGCACAAATCACCAGAAAATGCAGAAGATTTTTCTCCCTTCCAGGCATTTTGCATTAACGGATTTTCGCCAGCGAATTCAGCGGTCATTGAACTGTCCAACGCACCCGTGAATATCCGGCTAGCCCTATTCAACATAGGAGGCTATGTAAATTGCACGCAGGTCAAACATGGCTCCAGGCTCTGGTTCGCGAAGCCGCAGTTATCCTTCAACAGCTTCGGATCCGGATTCTGCTTCGAGCCGGGAACAGCTAACTTCGATTTGTTCAACTTCGGCCCCGAACAAGTTTTGAATTATGGCTTAGCCTCCGGCTCTATGCGAACTTGAACTGCTGGCCTCGGGTGATTTTTACTGCAGCTGATTTGCTTCGAAGAAACGGCCTTGCCTGTCCCCTCACGCCAGTATATCACACAACTTGTTATGGTGGCGACACCTACATGGCTAAGTTTACAGCCGCCGGCTTCAGCTTCGGCTTCGCGTTCACAAAGTTCGAATCCGGCGGCTTCGGATTCGGCTTCACGTTCTAAAAATAGGACGCCACTACTTAACGCTACAAGGTCGTTCTCGCGCACCCGCGCCCGCCACCTGGTGCTGGCTACAGCGGCCAACGACGCTTGGTTTGACAAAAACTGCAACCCCGTGCGTTGATGTTCTTGCTCCTAAAGATTGCACGCTCGCGGGCCCAAAACTTTTTCATGCAACCAGTTGAATTACTTGTTTCTGAAAAATGAAGGACGTCTTCAAGTAAAATATTGGATGGGCGTATCAATACAAGTTTTTGACCTTGTTTCAATCCATCCTTTTGAAAACAAGAACCAGACTATGTATAATAACTCACGTTACAAAAGAACAATCATTTATGAATTTCATTTAGATTCCTCAGCCTACTGCACTTCCAACCACCATCATTTGTTGCGGAACGGTCCGCACTATTGGAAACGGCAAATGCCACGATCTGTTGCGGCCAACCGTGATGGCCGGCACCCGACGGCACACTCAGCGCTGATACAGACCACACGCTCAGCGCTGATGCAGACCACGCTCAGCGCTGATACAGACCGTACACAGTATCTGCAGTGGTGTACTCGCGCGGTGCGGACAGGATCAGATATCAGCGTTGTCATTTGTTACTGCCCAGTTGGCACGGTCCGCACTTGCAGGATGCATATGCCATCTTAGGCGAAACGGGCGGCCGCGTTAACGCAGCCAGACCAAAAGCGGGCACATCAGTTATTGCGGGAAAGTTGGCACGGCTTGCACTGGCAGGCCACACATTTCGCATTTCATGCAGCTCGGTTGCCGAGGACGGCCTCGGCAGGCCAGGCCATCAGGTTCCGAAGGAGCAGCCGCCACAATTACAAAAAATCGCGATGACCATTGGTTAGTTACCGACATCTGAACGGCTTACATCGCTAAATGAGCAACACACCGATCGATGGAAACAGCTCGCAGGTAACAGACGTCATAGCTTAGCACGACAGTACCCTAGAGGTATGAATCGCTTGATGGGCGATAGGGCGCCTGACTGGGGACTCGTCCACGCGGTGCACGCGGTCAGGGCGGAGCGCCTCCGCCAACACTCCCCCCCCCCCCGCCCGGTTGCATGTGACCGCGGTTTGACACCGGAGTCACATTTTGGAGCGCCCCGTTCGCGCCTGCGGTACGGCACCTGGCCGCTTCTCCACGGCCGACACCACGCCCTCCCGCGGGCGGGTCGCGGGGTGGCGCCCGCTGGCTACCGCACCTCGGCTCGACACGCCGCTGAGGCGCTCCGTCACCAGGAAGCGACCCATCTCTCGCACTCATCAGCCACAAAGCACCGGCAGGCCACATACGTCCCTTCAGTGTTCTTTTTTTCTTCATATGAGCGGCCTAGCGCGGCCGCGGTGTCTGGCCAGTGCACTTGTGCGGCAGCGGCTGACCGCCATTTGGTGACGTCACTGGCCGCTGCTGGCGCATCTCCACGTTGTTAGGAATGCATTCATGTTAACGTCACGGTTTCTGCGTAATTTCTGTATTCCTGATCTTCGAAGCCCGATCTATGCGGAAATCTTGCCAGGCCGGAAAACGCGCGGTCCGCTTCACGACAGGCAGGGTACAGGCATTCCACCAAAGTATTTCGGAGACATTGATTGTAATAAGTGTGACAATTTTAAAAGATTTAATACTAACCGTCCCAAATTGGCAATAGTCTTAGCCTTTGTTCGATTCCGGAGCGCTCAAGACGTGAGATCAGTTTTGGTAAGATTGCTTCAGGTTGGCTTCTGTTCAACCATGAATTGGTTTCGCTGAGAGTGCTTTACAACCGAGGTCGAAGCTAGGCGGGGTCACTGGATTGTGCGGGAGTAGGAGCTGAACGCCATCGTCATTTAAAGTTTTGGTCCCTCGTTACTGAAACGCGCGGATAAATCCCTTATGATAAACCAGAAACAGCTCAGAGCCCAGTGAAGACCCCTGTACGACGCTGTATTCGATCCATCTCAAGTGGGTCTGCGGGTAACAACAGTCTGGAACATAACATCCATGCTCTAAACCCGGTCTGGTCTATCCGTGTGGGCCGCCTTCTTCTGCCAGTCATCCTCCCAGTTGCTCTATTGGCAGTGTCCAACGCCATCGAACGCCTTGGACGCGTCAGCGTAGGTCGGTAAGGACCTTGTGTTGATGTTGCCTGCTCGGCGCTCGACAGCGTTCGGCAGTGTCCCCTTCGCGGAGCGCCCAGGCCAGACCATGCTGATGCCCTGATCACGTGGATGAGCTGCGAGCTTAACTGCGCACGTAAGATGCGAGCCGTAACTTTGGAAATAATCCACAGCATTTAGGAAGCCATTCAGATACCTGCACACGAGAAGCCCACTAATTTGGCTTTGGGCGTGATGAAAGTCCATAGTCGTGATCCATGCTCTCGGGAGCCGGCGCAGCCCGACGATTTGCGAAATGTGCGAAGCGCGGGGCCCGTAGAGAGGAGCGGCGCCGCACCTGAACAGCGACGCAGCCTTCACCACGCACTCGAGACGGCAGCGACAGTGGCGGCGCAAGTGGGAGCTCCGGCAATGCCTCGACGCATTAAATCGCTTATGTCCCGAGCTCAGCCACCCGCTGGTGGGCTTGGGGCCAGCAAAAGCTACCTATACGTGAAACGAGCATCATCTCTCATTCTAGAACTAGTCGATCTAGCATCCAAGTTACCTGCGCCTCTTAAACGTGCATACATCGCACGTGACGACGTGCACAGCGTGTAACGTGTGGCTGACTGCATCATTATAGCTTCGTTGCATTGTTATCCTATATGGTAAACATTCCTATCTATTCTTTCTTCATTAATAGATCCGGCCTTGCATATCATACATCGAGTACATTTGTATAACACAACACAGTGTTTGCAGCTGCGCATACGCCTGCAGTTGTCGGCAGGTGGCTGGTACTCTACGAGCCAAACAGCGTGCTGACCTCGTCTCGCTGCCGCTGGGGAGCGCGCTGTTCTCCTGCGAGAAGCATTCCCTGCTGGCAGCTCCGGTGCTGCAGCTGCGGCAATGGGTGACGACTGTCAGCGACCCATCAGCGGAACCACAGACGAGCGACGTTCGCCGTCGGTTCAACCGCAATCCCTCTCCAAGGAAACCGGCAACATGCATATGAGATCTTCGGGATCAACAGGGAATGAGACGTGGCCTTGGAGCGATAACTGGGGGAGGGGGCGGTCTTCGGAGAAGCCGCCCTCGATCGCTCGGGTCCCAAAGCGATCGGTCATCGAGAGCTAGCGGGGACAGACCCACGAGACCGGCGCGGCCTCTCCTGCCGTCAGACCAGTCTGTCGACACCCTCTCCCACCTCTGCTGGTTGTTGGTGGACGGCCCGTAGGCCGAGTCGCGGTTCTCCGAGGCGCCCGTCTCAGAGTAGTCCTTCTCGACGGCCGACTGCTTGACGCCGTCAATCTGCTCGTCGCACATGACCACCTGTCGGACAGCGGCGCCGTCACCGGCTGGCGGCACCCTCTGGGACGGCCACCGATCGGGGCGGCCACCGATCAGGGACGACCGCCGGTCAGGGACGGCCACCGACCAGAGACGGTCACCGGTCAGGGGCGGTTACCGATCAGAGACGGCCACCGATCAGAGACGGCTGTCGATAAGGGACGGCAATCGACAAGGGACGGCCACCGGTCAGGGACAGCCACCTGCAGCCCGGCCCGGCCTGCCGCAGCGCACCTCGCCCCGTCCCCAGTTCAGAGGTACGGAGTAAATATTCCGCTGGCGCCGTCACATTAACCAGCAGAAAAGGTTCCAACACTTGCGGCCACGCCAGTTGCGTGCAGCCATAACTGATACAAGGGAAACTATCTATTTGATGGGAATACAAATGGTAGACTCGCAGAAACTCAAAGAAATTCGACACGACCTTACTGATTCGTTATTTGCACAAGTAGAGTCCTAACCGCTTTGCTATGATCTTCTGCTGGTTTTTATGACACAACCAGCTGCGTGATCTACGTGGAGGCTAGACCAGGTCAACCCACGGACTGCACTCCACTCAATTAACTGGTCGTGCTCAGATGCATGGATTCATGAGCCGTGCCGTGAGCCTTGATATATATATATATATATATATATATATATATGTCTATAACGCATATAACCAGATCCCAACCAAGCAGCCCACCGACAATTCACCAGATCAATAACTCCAATTCGTTCCAGTGCCCTCTCTCCATGTCCGTATTCACCAGTCTGTTCTGTTTTAAACACGCTTGCACTTCCGCAGATCTTTCCAACGCAGATTAATACACCAGCGAATGTGCCACGCTGAGACCCAGCAGCAGTACTATGGGCACCGCAATGGCGGTAATGCATTTCTGTCGTGCCAGATGATTTTGCAATGATTCCATGTGGCGAACCCTCGTGAATCGCGGTGAAATCAGTCATCACAACTTATCGCTGAACTAGCAGCCACAAGTTAGCGTTAACGTTATCGCTGGCCAGGAAACCCCCGGCTGTCATGTATCACGTTGATCACGTTATACCGCACGCTTGCATCTCACGCTCCAGAGATGATCATGCAACTTGTTCTGAGTTCGGTGAATCTGAACAAATTTCGGATGCTAATCGCGCCAAGCACACGCGTCGCACATGGAGGCCCACGTGTTTGTCGACCTAACGCGGAAATCCCCAGTGTGATGAAGCAGGCCTGTTAGAGTGCTCGCTCACTTTGTGAGCTCTGCACGCAAGGAGAAAGAAACGCGGACACCGGGGTATGGATTTGAGCATGGGGTGGAGCGTCGCACTCTATGTTCTTGGGAGCCAAGGCAAGTCAGGAGTGGTCTAATGCGCATCTGTGATGTTTTTATGGTTAAAGGCACTGTTTCACACCTGAAGATATTGAGGCAAGCGTCAGACGTGATGAAACCAGCTCACTTATAGCTGTTGGTATGCTTTTAAGTAGAGAAGACTGCTGAAGACAAAACAGCTTATCTGTTTACCAAATATGTTCTTTGGTACGACATTATTTGATTATGTCATCGCATCCCGCACAAAATTGATTGAGTCAGTCGATGGCCGTCATATCTGAAAATCGTACTCACAAAAGCCAGATATGGACGACCGGCCAATATATTTTTGACCTTGCTCGGCGCATAGCTTATGCAGTGGAGGGATTTGAATGACGTTATTATGATGTAATGAATGCCAAGGTAACTTTGAAATACTCCCCCTCCCCTCCCCCCATTTCCGCGGGCGTACAGCTCCGAAACTAGAGGAGTCTAGGTCTTAAGAAGGGCAAGACTGTAAACTGCGCAGTGAGATCTTCAAAATGGCTATTTCAGTTCAAAACCCGCAACAATGTGGAACACTCCCTTTAAAACACAGGGGTCTTTTGAGCCGACGTCGCTGGGGCCGAGCCCCGGCAGCCCAGTGCTGGTTTAGCCCATGGGTTTAGAGAGGGAGAAGCGAAGTATGGAGGAAGCGAGGCAGGGATGGCAAGGCGGTGCTAAGCCCGGTCCTCATAGCACACGCATACGTACCACCCACTTCGTTTGACACACATTTCCAAAAATTGGGCGAGCCCGCGCCGGTCCGCTTCAGCACCCACTCCGTACCAAAAAGATGTACGGATTGGAGATGCAACTTATCAGCGCGCCAACCGGCCAATTTCTAACCTGCAGAAGTCCGCAGACTTTTGGCTGGATTGTGGGCCAGACTTGGTGGGCTTTTGCGGGCCAAAAATTTCAACAGGCAACCTAATGCATTTTTTTGTTATTTCTTATTTTAAACTAATCCCAAAACCAGAGTGTGCTACCAAACACAAAACAACCACGAAACACACAAACAACCATGACACAAACACATTTTATTCTTTATAGCAAGAGCATCGGTGACAGAAAACCAATGTGCGCAGACATGACACACCAGTAAATCAGGTTGCACAGACTGAACAGCTTTAAGCAAACATCTCACTGACAAGTTCAAGGAAAACGACCCAAATTTTCACAATTACGACTTAATTTCATTGCGCGGCAGTTAGGTGGGTCCTTGATACAACTAAAGCTACACTCTGCACTTGGCTGTTATTGTGAGGGTGCGGTAGACTCAGCATTTCTTGGTTTACACAAAAATCATACCACCCAAATCACAGCCTATATCCATGATTAATGAAATGCATGGGAAACCGCGAACCTGTCATTGTCCTAGCTTCGCGCACTTGCCAATCGACATTAAAACACCCTTGGACCCAAACGACAGAAATGCCGCTGTCCCCACTTCGGCTGTCGCTTCACCTGATGACCCTCGCGCGCCGCAGGCCCTTTCTATGGACACGCACTCTGCCGCCACGGTGGCTGAACAGCATCCGTCTCCGTCCGACGCCTCGGGTTCCGACCCCCACTCGTCTTTGACCGGCCCGGTACCTGCTCGCCCTGATGCTGACCCTCGCTCGTCTTCGACCAGCCCGGTACCCGCTCGCCCTGATGCTGACCCTCACTCGTCTTTGACCAGCCCGGCACCCGCTCGCCCTGATGCTGACTCTCTCTCGTCTTTAACCAGCCCGGTACCCGCTCGCCCTGATGCTGACCCTCACTCGTCTTTGACCAGCCCGGTACCCGCTCGTCCTGATGCTGACTCTCTCTCGTCTTTAACCAGCCCGGTACCCGCTCGCCCTGGTGCTGACCCTCGCTCGTCTTTGACCAGCCCGGTGCCCGCTTGCCCTGGTGCTGACCCTCGCTCGACAATCACCAGTGTTCGCCTCACTCCTGAGCCAATGCTGGATCATTTCAGCTCTAACGCTGTCGTCCAACCTCGTGGTGAGGAGGTGTCATTTCGAAAAATCAACGTTTTCTGGCCATCACGGCAAATTGAAAGCTATCTGCGGCCCATGCGACCTAAGACTTTGGAGGACCAGCAAACGCATCACTCATCATTCAAACAGCCATTCGCGTTCAAAACAGAGCTTTTCTCAAAACAACGGAATTCTGTGCCAAGCATGTAAGTTTCTCTTCACCCATATCCGGAACACCACCAAAGACACCATCTTCGCGCTTGAGCTCCGTTTCATGACGGCGAAGATCCTGGCCGAGCTCGGGAACGAAAATGTTTAACCATGTCCGACGGCTGACGACCTTCAGAGATGGCCAGCGTCGCGACACGAGCCAGCTTGTTCTGACCTTTGCTACCACCCGACTTACAGACACTCACAGCTGGTTGCCTCCGTTGTGAGGTTGTTCATACCGAATCCATTGAGGTATTTTAAATGCCAGCGGTTTGGACACGGCAGTAGGTACTACAAGCGGAGTGCCAGATGTCTCCAGTGTGACGAGACCCCTCACGAGGGGTCTGCCTGCTCATCACCCAAGAAATACCTGAGCCGTGGGAGCACTGACCGCGCACCCAATTCTTCTCAGTGTCCCATATGGAACAAAGAGAACGAAATTCGCTGTGAAAGAGCCAAGACAGGTATGTCGTATCCCAAGGCACGGTGCACTACTAAGTCCAAAATGTCATCACAGTCCAGCAAAACATATGCACAATCAGCAAGGTACAATGGCCACATGACGAACACAAACTGACTGTTTTCCCCAGCCGCCTCTCCTGAAGCTTCTCAACCCCCGCACCTCTGTCTCAATCAGGGTAAATTTACCCGGTTTACATGGGCAGCTGTGATTCGAATTAAGCCGGGACCCGTCCTCGATCCGAACTATCCGGCCCATGTATACACTCACGCGCCGTTCCGCTGATTCGAATCGTGCGCCGGAGGAAATCCCTTCCCGTGAGAGGATCATCCGTTCAGGAAGGGATTTCGTCCGAATTATCGGCCGTCAGCTGTCTAAACAAAAAAAAAAAGAAAAATGCCTGGCGCACGCAGTTCTGTTCATAGCCATTTCAGCTTTGTGCGGTGTTACCGCTTTTCCACGGGTTTTTAGCTATTGCTCGAGACGGTTCAAGTCCAAGATGGTAAGGGAAAAGAGAAGGAAGGTGAAGTTGACATCATGCTGCTAAAACTACTCTTATTATTGAGGGCCTTGAGTGGCTAGCAGCACAGAAATGCTCACGTAATTTAGCCTTGCTAGGCGCTTGATCTATGCAGACAGCAGGCGTCGACGGTGTTTGGTGCTATCTTTCCGCCTAAAGGTTAGATTAGTTTACATCTGGGGCAGGCTCCATGCTTCGAAAAGCCAGATGGAGGTAATATGGTTATTTTATATAGCTTTGACTTGTTCTCATTTTAATTTTTGGATTGCTCAAAATTCTTGCAGAGAATGCATCCAAGTTTCGTTCATTAAGTTAATACCTTAAGTCCCCAGGAGTGTTTTTGCAGATGTTCCTTAAATTAGGATGCTGGTTGCTTGTCAGTTTAATTTGTGTGAGAAAGGTAGCTTAAAAATTGCTGCATGATATGACGGATGAACAAATATAGATCATTGCACTCAGCTCGGAATGTGAACTTTTTTAATGGTAGGACTGAAATTGCC